CCCCAAAACCCCAAAACCCCAAAACCCCAAGTGGATGATATCTTGCAGTAGAGGTTAATTAACATAAAAAGATCTAGAGATATTCCGACATTCTTGATAATTAAGATAAAGATGATGCTTTAATACTTTACTCATTCTGGTTTGATAGTAAGAGTGGTATTGACAGCTAGACATACTAGGACACCAAGAGCAATATTAAGAATAGTGACACCTATCTTTCTTCCTTCAACTCCTCTCGAATAACCAATAGCCATTAAAAATCTGCCAAGAGCATAGAATCCGCCTGCAATTAGAGTATATTAGATTGAAGTGATGCCAGCAACTAGAATTAAGAATGCCACAACCCACATCTATTCCAAGAAATTTTAGTGCACTCTCTGAGCCAAGTTAAATTCAATCCATTACTTATAAGAAAGCTTTTCAGAGAAAACCCCAGAACCCATGTCAGGATATCCTTGATCTGGAGCCATTGAAGAGCCAGTTTCCTTTTTATGCAGCTCTCCGAAGTTCTCGTTCATGAATTAGCGATTGAACATCTTATATCTTTTAGGTTGGGCAACAAAGAAACCAGTGAAGTAGCATTGTAGGGAGATGCCAAGGGCTAGTAGCATCACATATGGGTATTCTTTTGGTAAAGTCACGTTTATCATTTTAATTCTATTACGTCAATAATTAATAATATTATAATTTTACTAAAATTCAACTCATAAACACTTGTGTATATTTTCATATAAATACTGATTTTTCACAAAACATTATATTTGCTATTACTGGGTCTTTTCGAGTGGCTTACACTTATCATTGGATTTTGATGGGGACTTTGTATAAAATCCTCTACATTCTGCATCTGTGAAAGTAGGAATTCATCCTCTATGATATTCCTAGGATCATCAATGGAGTAGTCATTCCACATAAACTTCTCATCCTATGCTGACTTCTGAAGATTTTTCACTTGGGGTTGTTTGTTAATATTCCTGAAGTTTATCTGAGTGAGATTTGAGCCACCAATTCTATTAGCAGTAATGCTTTTTTGTAAAGTTTCAGAATTATTGGCTTACTTTCGTTTAAGACTCAGATCAAACATCCCTGCACTTGTCTAATACATTGAGATCATTAAGTCATTAGTCTTGATCTTTGGTTTCTTCTAGAGATCAGTTCGCAGCATAACTTGCCTCTCTCTAGAGGGAGACTTTGAATTCTTTGAGAATTTAAATTATGTCAAGTTAAACTGCTTTTTGTCATTTGTATTAAATGACTGTTACTATGGCATTGAGACTTAATATTCATTAGAAGAACAAGGTTTTTCATATACTCCAATCTGCATTCGCTAATTTTGCTAATATATCTACTACTCGAATTCCTCTCTATCCTATTGAATCAGCCTTTTGTTCCTTTCAATATGTTTATTCAAAGACTCCAAGTCCTCCTCTCCTATTGCAATATCTAATAACTAGGCATTCGAAGCATCTTCATTAACAATATCCTAGAAGCTATATTAATAATCAGATTTCCTGATGGAACTGCTCCCGCCTACAGCAATTGCATTCTATTTCATGTTCATACAAATGAACCCTCTCTTTATGTAGTGCTCCAACTTTTTTATTCTCTTATTTAGTTTCTTATCAAACTTAGTCAAACATTCCTCGATATTTTTCTAAAATTAATGTAGGGAGTCAACCTGGCTACAATTTCTGAAGTTATTAATCTAAGAGATTATTTCATCTATTTAAGCTTAGAATTTACAGATAATTTTCGGAGGACTATTGAATTAGAATGGATATTGCTATTTTTGTAAAAGCAACAGATACTTTTTCTTGTATTAGTTAAATTTATGGATAACTTCATAGAGCTTAGAGGTTTGTTGACTATAGGGCGAGACAATAAAAGCTTGATTGCTTTTCTGGCTTGCTTCCTTTTTGCTTGCAACTCCTTTTTGAATGCGAGAGGATATTTACTGATTGTCCTTATCTTGTACAGTAACATTAAGTGGGTTGCTTTTCTATTGCTGATGCTTCTAATTCTGCACATGTGTTAGAACTAATTCCTCTTGAGAATAATGATTCTAATTGTTGTTGCCCCCATAAATCAAACTTGTTTTATTATTATCAACAGCCCCAATAGAATTTCTAGACTAAATCTTGAAGACCCTATCTCTTGTTATGTCAGGGGAATTGCTATTTTAAATTTCAGTTTCAACTACAATGCTTGAGCCTATATGTGGAAGTAAAAATCCACTTTTATCCACTATACTGGATTTAATTTTTGACTACTAGGAGTCAGAAAACTTTGATTACTATCTCAAAAGACTGTTATTTAGCTTTTTGCGAACTTATGATTTCTATGGACTTTGACATTTTATAATCTTTTCTTTATTTATATAAGAATTTGTCTTTTAATACTATTCTATATACGCTAATTGATCTGGAAACTTCTTGAGTTTAATTTATGTTTTCTTTTAAGAATAATCTTCTTTCAGACCTTCTCGTATTTGAATTACCTTTTAAGTGGCTTATTAGCTCAGGATACTCTGGGATTTTATATCATTAGTAAATGCTGTGCTTATTTATGAGTTATTATTGATTTGAGATAATTGTTATTTATTGACTCTGCAATTAAGCAAAGGATATTAGTGATTCTAATTCGCAAAGAGGAGTTTCTTAAGTTTCTTCTTGTTTTTGTCATTTATTTTTTCGCTCTCGTTTGACTTGATATGATTTCTTTATTTTTCTTTGGCTTAAATCAGCATTGTACTCTTGTTCATATCATTCCCCTCAGCTAGCATATTTTTATTCTTCACATGATTTTCATCTAAATTTCTCATACTAAAACTCTCAGCAGATTATAGTATTTAGGGCGAAATTTACACAATATTTTCGGTATTCCTGCTTTTCTTAAAAGATCATCTCTTAGATGTGCGGACACCAGAGCCTTCATAGTAGTTTTTATCATTAAATATGTCTTTTTCAATATTCGATTGATTGACTGTCGTACTATTAATGTCGTACTGAGTTCTCGCTGGTATTATTTGAGATTGCTGAACCGGTTGTAGTTTACTGATTGGCTTATTGGCCTAGTATAAATTTGCAAAATTTTTCTTGGGCGATAATATCTAGTGGATATGATTCTAGTTCATTTAATCAAAGACAGGAAAGTTCAGTTTAAAATGGTCAAGCTGAGAAGTTTATCTCTTTTTGGTTGAGAGCAGACTGGCTTTGGACGATACTCCGACTTGAAATTTATCCCATATTAACATTTTTCAATTACTTTTATCTTAATAATTAAAATTGAAAATTATTACACAGCGGGGTTTTGGGGTTTTGGGGTTTTGGGG